GAGGGGTTAAAATTTTCGAAAAATAGTTGAAAACTCGCATCTGTATTAGTAAACAACCTGTAAAAAATTTGTTATTTGTACCTTGTTCGGTTTTCAAATTACAGCCAATTTTCATAATTTTTTTTGGAAACTGATGGCCCATATCTCTTCAGGGGTGAACATTTTACTAAGGCAATTTTTTGCAGATCGTGTTCTTTTGAAATGTAGATTCACTGGTATCATTTATGCTACTCCATTCAAAAACACCCTGTATAAATAAAGAAATGGTATATGGCATCTAATAAAACACGTATTAAAGAAATGCAACAATATCAGAACTGGGAAATTTTAGACAAATATATATTTCAATTTGCAGACATTTATTTATATCATTGAGGACAAAATATTTAACAATTCTGATCGCCAAGTTAACAAATAAAAAATCCATCATTAGTCGAGATATTGCAATAATTGAATTTTTCACAAGCAGGACATACATTTTAAATCGGCAATCAATTAGTTCTTTTATAACAGTTCCAGTTGATTTTAACTTAGACGTATTTTGAAATACTAACTTCTTTTGCGGATAATTATAAAAACTTATATAGTATCCGGAATCTAAACCGATAAAAGACAGTAAATTCTAGGGATGATTTCATGATGATTTGATATAAATCGTCTTATCTAAAAATGCTCACTTTTACCAAATTTATTAGATTGGATATTCGACAGAACTTGTGGTTTCTATGTAACGGTTGTCTGGCTTACTTCAGGACAACTGATCATGAATTTTTAAATGCTACTTACGGGCAGCAGTGGGTCAGAAGAGGGGGTGCAGTTATTTGGCTAGCAAGTTTTCCAGATTTAAATCCTTGTGATTTTTGTGTCTGAGCATACCTAACATATTTAGTCTATTCTCAACTATTACAAACACGCAATCAATTTTGGGCACGAATTCAACACGTCTGTAATGAGTTTACGAGCAATAGGGAAATCTTCATAAGGATTCAACAATCATTAGAGAAGCAGATGATTTTATGCATTGAAAGTTATGGCTGCCATGTAGAGCATCTTTTATAAAGTTTGTTTGTTTTAAGTTTTCTATAGAATTTTACATTATCTGTTTTCCAAAGCTACTAAATATTAGCAAAGAATCTGTAATTTTGTCATTATTGTGCAAAAAAAACAAACATTTCAAATAGATTTTTCTTGCATATACCTAGCCAATCAAGTAGAGTGTACCTCTTTAATTTAGAATAGTTTCCGGACGCCCTGTATATACTGGTCCAAATTTTTTACTATTAGTAATACCGCGATGGCTAATTCTATAACATTTTTTGAAAGCTGCTGGAATTTATGTTGGTACTGAGATGCTCATTTAAGCATTTAATAAATTTGTCTCAATAAACTCATTATTTTCTTTACGTAAATCAATAATTCGTAAATTATTTCGGAGCAGATACTGCTCTGTGTATCTAAATTTAAAACTTTTATTTTCTTCTAAAAGTGTTACCTTCTCAGCTTAATTCTTAACGGTATTTCTTTTTCCATAAACTCATCTAAGTTGGTACAGCATTCATGATTATAGAGGTAATATTTTTGATAAATTCTTTGTTAGAAGAATTGGCTGCACAAAGTTTTGGAGACTTCAGACACTTTCACTTGTTTAGCTTTAGTCTTTCTTTTTTCTGTCTCAGACGACATTATATTGTCAGTATTGGGTAACAGTAGATATTATTATTAGAAACAACTTGAAACCTCACTAACTGACATGTTTCAAGCACTTCTACTCTACATATGATATTAAATCTGCATTAGGGATCAAGTTATAGTGAGAGCTATAACAAGACCATGAAATTATACAATTACGTTCTAAGTTATTCCATTGCATGAATGAGTAGTAGCTACTTTATTGTTGAAAATAAGTTCTAATATTGTATACAAGTCTCTTGAATATCATGATACAAATTTTTTATATTTGTCGCTACCGCTGATAAAATCCATTTTTAACCAAAATTTTCAAGGGTTTTGTTGAAATTTATTACTGTCTTTTATTTTTTACCTACATATTCTTTTTCTTTAGGAAATGAGGGATTTAACAGAAAAAAAAGGTAAAAGAAAAAATGGTGCAGATGATGATGGAGATGACACAGAAGGTACAACAGGAGTCAGGAAGAGACTAAAAGGGAGACAAAAAAAGTGGAAAAAAGAAATGATAATGTAACGAAGTCTTAATTTACAATAACATTGTCTTGAATAAATCATAACATACAATATGTTGTTTTATGAATCTGTTTAACATTAGTAGCTAGGGGCTAGTTTAGCCATCACTCCACATTTAGATCTAAACCACACACTCCCCTCCCCAATTGTTCAACCAATTAAGAGCACAGCATTCTAAGTGACGGGAGAATCAAATGGTTAATCAGAGCCCTGCATTCATATTGATATGGAAATTCTAATAACAAAAGAAAATAGTTACAAATTGTAAACTTATAATTACAGTATAATCCGGCACTTCACTACACCGGCACGTCCAGTAATCCGGCGTTATTTTTTCCGCGTTTGTTTACTATTCTTGAAGAATACAGTTTATACAGTTATAGTTTAGTTGAAAGATTATTTTACAGAAACATAAAAACATTACAATATACACATATATGCATACACAACTATAATATGTATGTATCTATGTACCAATCTCTTTGTTAATAAACAATTGAAAGTAACGTTTTTTAATTTAATACTGTTTACATATACATTTTCCATTAATCCTAATTTTCCAGTACTCCGACACTCTTAGGTTTTTAATGGTGCCGGATTAGTGAGATTGTACTGTAATTCCTTATTTCCTTTAAAATCTCCGTCACATCACCAAAATTTGTATTTTGATATCAATAAGAGAGTAAAGAGACGCAGGCAAACCAATGAACTACAAACTATATACAGGGTGATTAATTAACAATGGAAAATTTGAGAACTGAAGATACTACACGTGAAATGGTGATAATTAGCGTAAACATGCTTTAAACGAAAGTTGATAGTTTCGGAAATATAGGGCGTTGAAAGTTAAAATTTTAAATAGTTTTTTTGCGATTATTCTGAAAATATGTTGATTAGTAACTTGAAAATTTAGTTAATAACTTTTTACCCTGTATGTCTAACATGAAACTTGATTCAAAACCTGAAAGAGCAATAATTTTTCCATTAATTATGTACTCTTGTTTCATTTCGGTATCTCGATCCGTTTTCGAGAAAAATCGATTTAATGAACACTATGTTTTGATAATACAAGAAATTAAAAGCGAAAAGACTAAGTGTTTCTTCATGTTATTACAACAATTAACAATAAGACTAATGAAATACGTAATAATGGTTTAAAGTAATTGTTCGAAGAGTCCACCGTTGACACTGATACACTTTACACATTTTTTGAGAGATCTTCAAGTTTGAAACAACATATTGGGATTGCGTCTGACTTCCTTGGCAGTGATTTGTATTCTTTAGCACAATTCACGCGAACCAATAGATTCTTTGTAAACTATATCATCCATTTTAGGCCAAATAGAAAAATCAAGAGGATTAAAGTCTGGACTTCTAGGTGGCCAAGCAAAAATGCTTCCACGGCTTGAAGTTCCACTTTATTTAAGAGGAGACATGTGGTTGATGCACGACGGAGCTCCACCGCATTTGTCTCGGCCAGTGCATGCATATTTAGATGCAGTTTTTCCAAATTGCTGGATTGACCATGTAAGCATTATTGCTTGGCCACTCAGAAGTCCCAACTTCAATGCTCTTGATTTTTCTATTTGATCTTAAATGAAAGACACAATAGTTTACAAAGAATCTATTAGTTCGCGTGAAGAGTTGTGGCAAAGAATACAAATTGTTGCAAACTCTTCGAACAATTACTTTAAACCATTATTACGTATTTCATTAGTCTTATTGTTAATTGTTGTAATAACATGAGGAAACACTTAGTTTTTTCGCGTTTAATTCCTCGTGTTATCAAAACAGTGTTCGTTCGGAAAATGGATCGAGATACCGAAATGAAACAAGAGTACATAAAGGTTTTGAATCAAGTTTCATGTTAGACAAACAGGCTAAAAAGTTATTAACTAAATTTTCGGTAAAATTGGTCGTAAATGGTGCCCTTTATGAATAGTGCTGAAATTGCAATAGGCATCTTATTCGTCGTTTAAAAAAAAATAGTCTCAAATTTTCAAGTTCCTAACCTACATATTTTCAGAATAGCAATAAACGATTTACAATTTTAACTTTCAACAACCTGTATTTCTGAAACTATAACTTTCGGATAAGGCATGTTTGCGCCAATGGTCACCATTTCACGTGTAGTATCTTCAGCTTTCGATTTTCCCATTGTTAATGAATCATCCTGTATATAAATCATTCTCATTTGATATTACTTCATTCGACTTACAGGTTACACTTTAGACCCATCATAGTGCTGCCTTTATATTGGTGGGCAAATTTAAAAACCAAAAAAAAAATATAACATGGAAATGTCCGATTAGGTGCAATTGGAGGTAAATTCTTACATCTATATTATATCTATATCAATANCTTTCGGATAAGGCATGTTTGCGCCAATGGTCACCATTTCACGTGTAGTATCTTCAGCTTTCGATTTTCCCATTGTTAATGAATCATCCTGTATATAAATCATTCTCATTTGATATTACTTCATTCGACTTACAGGTTACACTTTAGACCCATCATAGTGCTGCCTTTATATTGGTGGGCAAATTTAAAAACCAAAAAAAAAATATAACATGGAAATGTCCGATTAGGTGCAATTGGAGGTAAATTCTTACATCTATATTATATCTATATCAATACCAAGGACAGCTTTGGTGATTCTGTATATTGATATTAATTATTAATCAACCGTATTTTGTCATGCACCGGTAATATTGTCAAACTGATAACAATATTGCTGACAAAAACGGTATTCTAATCAGGTCTGTATAAAGATAATCTTTATCTTAGGTTATTGTTAACGAGACATCAGGGACTCTATTCTTGAATTATAGGGAGTAGAAGAAGGAACGAAGAAGGGGGCATGTCTCTACTAAAACTCATTAATCGGTATTCTTAAATGGTGTTCTATTGAGTAATGATAGAAGTAGTGACGGGACTACTCGAATGAAAATTATCGATTATGAAAATATCTCGAGTGATCATTATAAATTCATTCGATTATTCGGATACGAATGACAGTGGCCACAGCGTTACTAACGTCAATCGTCACTCGTCATCGAATAATGCAAACGCGCTGCTCGAGTGAGAGCGCAGGTGTTTCGATTGTTCCAACGCTCTAACGAGCTACAAAAACATGGAGACTATACAAGGAGCCCGAACTCCATGTAAACAAGAATCTTACAAAAATAAGAGGGCGCTAGTGTTCCATATGTCCCATATGTAGAGAAGGGAGATAAAAAGCGGCAGTTTTGAATATTTATATGTTTTGTGATTTGAATTATAAATCAATCATGTCATTTTTGTAATGTGTTAAAAATTTTAAAATAAATAATGTAAGCTACTTTGAATTATATAAATCATGAAAATATGTCATTCCGGACTGTAATTAAACTAAATAGATAATAAAAAATAATAGCTTTATGAGAAGAATTTGGTGTTCGTAGAAAGAAACTAGTTTTCAAGGAATTTATGACGTGATCTTGTTAATATTAACCTATAAGTAAGGTTTATGTTTTTGATAATTACTTTGTTAAAGATTTTAGTTTAATGTTAGTAAAAGTCACATTTTATACAGGAAGTTGCCTTTAAAAAAATAGTAATTCTTGTATTATTAATATGGAATTTTTACTTGTGGTAATAAAAAATAGAATATAAAAAAACTCGGTGTTTTAAATAAACTTTTTAAAATATTACAGATGTCCGATTTTGAGTCCAGTGATTCAGATGACTTATTAGACGCATTGTCCAGCTTGAGTGATGATGAAATAGATTTATTCTAAGAAACAGAAAGAGTAAAAAATAAGAACTACTTTGAAATTACTGTACCTGAATATAGTGGCCAAGTTTTTTTAACATTTCCGTGTTAGCATATGGGAAGTAGCTAACAGAATTGAAGAAAAATTTGCCATTTCTAATTATTTCACCCATGATTCTGGTAAATTTTGCATTGCCTTAAGCTCTACAACAACCAGAAAAGTTACATACTTGCTAAGTAACTTGTCTCCATAAATTATAGAATGGCCGAGATAATGAGGCAGTTGTAATCGAACAATATTTTGCCCAATATGAATTTCCAGAGCAGGTTATAGGAATAATTGATGGGAAAGGAATTCATATAAGATAGAGTATATCACAATCCATATTTTTTTTGAATAACCAATAATATACTATATTATAGTGTAACTGAAAACTGACTATGGAAAGTCGATAAATTATGGTTGGACAATTTCTAAGCTGATTGCCATGTTGTCGGTTTAGACTTCTCAATGCTTCGAGAGTCATATCGCTCTCTTCTCAAAATGTCAAGAAGCTTAAAACAACATGACAACCAATTGATACCAAAATTTTAACAAAATATAGGTACTCCATTATAAAGGTCACAAAAAATAGGTAATCTAAATATTTTATAACTGTTTAAAATCGATTAGTTTTCTGGGTATATATTTTAAAATTGCTGTAAAATTTAATTCTACTTTCGTAAAATTGTTGATTTAATTCGAACGTAACATGGTTCCATGACTTATTCCAAGGTAGAGTATAGACCAAAATTAATAAGGTATTATAAAGAAATATTTTAGCAATGTTCTATATTTTTGTTATATATTTTGTAAAAATAAAATGTTTATCTACCAAAGATTTCAATGTTTTATTAATTGAATCAAAAAAACGAAATTATTTGTGCCTAATTAAAATAAAATAAATATTTATTCATAACAAACAAGTAACAAAGTAAATATATATTACAAATAAAACAACTTAAAAATAAGTAATACGTGTCAGTCTATCTTCTTAAAATTTCATTTTGTTCATGAAGCAATTGATTTCCATGTTTAAATATTTAGTAAAAGTAGTCAATTACCAATACAGATCGATCAGCATCAATTACTACACGTATCCTCTCTTTAAATTTTATATGATATCTGAATTTCAATCAGTTTTTTACTAACAGGAAAGAAACAGCAACTAATTGGAAATGATTTATTCAATTCAGTAATGATAATAGCGATGTCACCAGCAAGAATTATATGAAAGATACGAATTTAATTATTTATGC